GGAAAAAAGCCATTTATGCTAGAAATTAGCCATTTATGCTAGAGAACCCTGCCGGATAGACAAATTATGAAGAGAAAGAGCCGTTTATGCTGGAGAGTAATAAATGGCTATGCCGTTTATGCTAGAGATTAATAAATGGCAGAGCCATTTATGCTAGGAAAAAAGCCATTTATGCTAGAAATTAGCCATTTATGCTAGAGAACCCTGCCAGATAGACAAATTATGAGGAGAAAGAGCCGTTTAAGCTGGAGAGTAATAAATGGCTATGCCGTTTATGCTAGAGATTAATAAATGGCAGAGCGATTTATGCTAGTGAAGTGTCGCGGATAGGAATTGGTATAGAGCCATTTATGCTGGAAATAGTGTGGGTATGCCATTTATGATGGAAAGGGAGCAATTTATTATTTTCATAATAAATTGTAAGCCCTCTTTATTCTCGGTGGCAAAGAGAAAGGACATAGACAAAAGCTGGAGTCTTATAGAAGTCTATCTCATGGCACACAATTACACACACACAAATAAATAAAAATAAAAATGACAAATGACAAGTTCTTAGAGGAACTGTTGTCTTTTTAAAACAAATAAATTGAAAGAAGAAAATCTCCCAACATCGGGCGCTAAGCTGTTAGAGTCTTTTATTGTCCGAATTAAGAAACTATGACTCATGACCGATGTAGAAAAATTAGGCACTTCAGTTTAAAGTAAGTGTTTGCGAGGAGAATGCCGTGTTCTTGAAAAGGAGATAAAGGGAAAATCGTAGATCCCATCAACGTTTTCCAGAAATATTTCAATCGGGCAATTTTCCTCCGTCGCGTCAAGCATTCGAGTAGACAATTTTCTGAAACTTCTGAAGAAGAGACAAAGTTGCCACTTATAATACGAGGAGCAAGACATTGAAGTGTATTTAAGGGCTCTAGATGGGTGGAATATGAGCTGTCATAGACAATTGCTCCATACTCAAAGACAGGTCTTAGACAAGTCTCATAGAGATGGTTCTTCAATTTGGCAGGGGCATCTCGAAAAGTCCAATGTATCACACCCAACATTCGTCTGCATTTCATCGTTACTTTTTCAATGTGACTAGTCCATTTTAGGTCATGAGAAATGTAGAGCTCGAGCAGTTTGATCTCACTCACCCTCTTGGAATTTCTCCTAACTTGACAATAGCTGGTGATTGAGAAATAGGCTACGGTCGAAAATCAACCACTGACACTTATCAGCATTCAAGTTGACAAGCATCGTTTCACACCAAGTGTGAATGCCAGTTACTTCGCCTCGAAAGGAATCCAGGCTATTATCAGACGGGAGAGATACGGCACAAAAGAGAAAATAGAGTAGTAAGTTTGAGGCATTCTGCAATGTCATTTATGAATATCAAAAAGAGCAAGGGGCCCAAATTCGAACCTTGCGGAACGCCATATGATACTAATATTGCTTGGGAAAGTAGGTTGTTAATTTTTACTCTTTGAGTTCGACCATTAAGATATGAACCGGATCAGTCGAAAAGTTTCTCATCAACACCTGCCGAATTTAATTTTGAAAGCAAAGTTTGGTGAGGAACTCTATCAAAGGCTTTCATAAAGTCGAATACAACTCCAGCCATTTTTACTTTCTTATCTGCGAAAGACGAGAGGCGGCTGACGAGAAAACTGAGTGCATCGACAGTAGATGAAAAGTATGGTATCATCCTCTAGCATGCATTATCTTATCTGAATGACATCACTGTTTTCTTTCGTTATCTTCTATCGCGTTATACGTTCTATTACATCATACATTCTACTATATCAGATTTTCTTTCTCCCCTCTTCCTGTTGTATATATACTTGTTGGTTTTCAAAGGGAAAACAAGTGAGTTTGATTTAGTGTAAAAGATAGAAAGTTATTGATACAGACTTATGTTTGGGTATAACAGTATATGCTGCACCGACCATGTTTAGTCGTAAATAAGTCGGTAAATGTTCTCAAAATCCTGAAGTAATAAACTTAACGCCAAATAATAAAGCAAGGATTTTCACCTTACTGTAGTTAAAGAGATTTTCTTTTCTGCTAGCAATACAATTCAATTCTTGTCATTTGCGTCTATTTCTTGGTTCTAGCATCATCAATAACAAGTTCTCCTTCACAGACAACAACATCACCAACACTTTGTTCGTCCGCTGAATGGTATCCAAATGCAGCTACAGTTGCCGGCAGTGGTGGAGGCAAAGGTCAGTTATCTAATCCAGTGGATATTGCAATTGACAGTCCACAGAATCTAATTGTTGCTGACTATGGTAGTCACCGTCTACAAAAATATTTTTTGAATAACAGCACCATCATCACCTTGGAAACAAATGTAACAGTACAAAGTATCTGCGTTGATAAATTTGATAATATTTATTTTACAAATTTGAACTGTCAGTGTGTTTAGAAGTTGAGTAGTAGTACCAGTACATTAACAATTGTTGCTGGTAGTAGTGGCCAAGGAGGATCAGGATTGAATCAATTGAACTCTTCGTCTAACCCCCCATAATAAAAGACCATCCCCTATTAGAAGACCACTGCCGATTATATAATTTGAAAGCCAAAAGAAGAGCATGGTCGTCTAACCCCTACCACTGGTCTTCTATTATGTCCGCCCCCAAAAAACGCCTCCTATAGGGCAATTTTCAAAAAAATTCCGCCAAAATGTTCTTCTAATAGGGGATGGGCTTGAAGTATGTGAGGGGTTACCGCTGACCTACTAGCTGGCGACAGAATTTGGTCGCAATGGAAGATCACCCTTTAGAACTCGACTTGCCGGACAAAGCAGAAGACCAGGTCTCCATGGAGAAAATAGAGACCGGATCTCTGAAAAACCAGTAAAAAAATACTTTGAAAGTTTAAAAACCAAGCCATTGAAAGAGCGCATACGAAAACCTATAAAAAGACCGCTTAGAGGTTTTTGTACCACTTTTTTCTAGCACATGTCTACGTGCCAAAATTGCTGTGTCGATACGCTGAAGCGGTCGCACTGGACTGGATCGAAACATTTTTTGTTTAGAAATACCTCAAACATGCATCGTTCGATGCAGTTTTGACGCTGATTCCGAATATGTAATTATTTTTCAAATAAAAATGTGTCTATCCTGAGGAAAGTGGAATTTATCTCAAAACTCAAGGTTTTTTTGGAAAACCTGCGACTAAGGCCGGGACCATTTATGCATCTTTATGCTACCTGTAAAGATGCATCGAATTTGGACTTGTGGAAAAGTGCGGAAACTCACTTATGCTGAACACGGCTTATGTGAAAACCTTCTGAGTAGAAAGAATAATTACTTTTTCCGATGCAAAAGT